GGATTTCTCGTGCATCTCGTTTCAAAATGAGCCTCATGAATACTGCACAAAATCGCACACTCAGATTATGGAATGAAACGGTAATGTAACACACTATTTTGTCCCTATTCATATACGTACCTAGTTATCATTCAGTGTCGTTGTCAGCTAACATTTTAGCTAACCTTAAATGTTGGAAATAGGGTACGTGTTGGATCTATAAATGCATCATTATCTGGTCCTTGACTTGCACGCACATGTTCACAATGACATTATCCATAGCCCATCTCTAAAAACTATTTTCTTGGTTTGCCACGGATGTTGGGAATAGGATTTAGGCCAAATTTTAATGCCAGCCACTGGTTCTTGGCGCTGTATACACGCGTGCAAGGGGGAAAATCACAATAAATAGCGTCCAATACCTATCTCTAATATCTTTTGTCTTGGTTGGACACAGGTCTTGGAAATAGGATTCGTACCAGACCTCTATGCTATCCCCTGGTTCCTGACGTTGTACACACACGTGTGCTCCTTTGACAAGATATATCAGATATGGGACAGTCTGCTGGTCAGCTCCTCGTCGTTCCCACTCTGCTTTGCTGTAGCGGTACGTAAACATACTTGTTATATTGTTGCACATGTCCTAAACCCTAAAATCTGCGTATTACTTACATTTTGTGAGTTTACCGAGATTTAAAAACACTAGTCTATTTATTTAAATAGACTTGTCGGCCTTTCGGGATACTTTTAATATTAGTTAGATGTCCATGTCTGGATAGTACTGTAAAGGACCGTATTTATAGTGGAAACAGATACGTGGATGTAATGCATCCTTCGAGACACCCACGAGACATTGGGTATGATCTGCTACAAAGTAAGAAATAGTCCCTTGCCACCAGTCATGGACATACGCCTGTGCTCGTTCAAGCTGCCCATTCGGACTGTCCATGTTCCCACAGCCTAGTGTAAACTGTACAGGTAATGTGATATTCAGTTGTGGCATGGCTTCCTGTGCCCTCTGCGTAGCTACAGCAGAATACGGGAAGTTATCTCTGCAATAAAGACCCATCGGTTGCAAGCTAACTTGCTGTATGGGAGTGTTAAGAGTCTGTGGTGTCATTGGCTACAAGGTACACACACCTTGAATCAGCATCTGCAGATAAGGCTTCAATCTGTAGATAGAAATTCTTGTCGTATTTCTCAACAGGTACAGCTGCACTCTCGAACCGCGCGATTTCAAAGATAATATTTCGTACTGCAATGAATAATATGCATTCGTTTAAAGTATACGCCATATCCTTTGCTCATTCCGACCCTATCGTTGAGCAGTTGTTGCATCAATTCTGATTCGTACGATATGAACAATATGTATTAAAACTATATCCCACAGACTTTTCGCTCACTAAGCTCTCGCATTCTAACAGATATTGCAGCAATTCCGATCCGCCATACTATCGTACGATTTCAATGACTGTATCTTGCACTTCAGCGATATGCCGGCACTCGATGTGGAGTGGTGTCTGGCTACCTCGAGACAGGTGTGTATCAATTATAGGATAGTAAAGATTGATACATATGCGCTGTCGATGTCTGCCGATTGCATCGGTATTATCAGCAATATCCGTTTCCAAATTATAACCGAGAGTACGAGTGAGCCTTGTATATGAAAGAGTTTTAATTTTTCGAGTGTATGAATGTATATCATTATGTACACACGACAGTGCTGTGCATCTTGATATACACATATCTGTTGCTACGCCTGAAGATATATACACACGAATACATAATGTAAAGACTGTGATCCACTAACTCCCTTTTCCCCTCAGATCTGGGCGCAAACTCCTCCTTCAGTTACATCGCGGAAACACGACGCTTGGGAAGCATGCGAAGAAAACGCCAAGAAGCAGTTGTATGTGATTCACGTTCGCATTGTTCTCAGCAGTTTAAGGAATATCATGGCCACTTATTATGGTCTGGTCAGCAAGTATTCATTTGTACACAAAGAATATCATGGCCACTTATTATGGTCTGGAAGTATTCATTTGTACTTAAAGAATATCATGACCACTTATTATGGTCTGGAAGTATTCATTTGTATACAAAGAATATCATGGCCACTTATTATGATCTGGTCAGCAAGTATTCATTTGTACTTAAAGAATATCATGGCCACTTATTATGGTCTGGAAGTATTCATTTGTACTTAAAGAATATCATGGTCTCTTATTATGGTCTGGACGTATTTGCCTGTACACAAATAATATCTTGATCTGGCTTACTTGCTCCAGATTCGAAGCTCACTAAAAATTCCCTTTCGATTCTTCACAATGACTTTCTGACCGCAGACAAAAGGACATCGACAGCCATGTCGCCGACACAACAGTAGAAGGTATGTTTGCATCAGAATACCTCTACCACAAGAGATACAGTTTGGCCCAAGGCACTTGTTCAATAACATGATTTTCTGCGCAATATAGACCGAGTGCTAAAGTGATCTTGGTAATGGTAGCAGAACCTCCCAGGTAGTACGCTTACATGCACGTGTACATATTCCCACTGCTCATCGTCAGGCAATGTTGTGAAGGGGCTACTGCTGGACTCGGATCTAGAATGGTGGGCAAAGACACCGCCCCTTGCCGAGCTTAGGTATGGCCAAAGATACGACATATAATGGAGCTTGTGTGCTGTGACCAACTCTAATCGTTACTACATGGCTTTATCTGGTGGGTTTGTTTTGTTTGTCTCAGTGTTTTCGATAATGGATGGACTTCTAACCAAACTAGCTGCTATGTAAAGTTTAAAGGGCAGATGATTTAGAAAGAAGGCTTTACCTACCATATATACCTTAAATCAGTATACACCTTCACATCGAGAGATCTTATTGTATTCTATATCGCTTTCTAATCGGAACTTGGTCGTATTCGTATCGCAGATCAAACCGGGTAGCCCAGATCAGGTTTGATGATGTGATGCTCATGGATCAGTATCTGATGGTGGATATTCGTTCCGATGCGTCATTCCATGCTATTGGTCACTGGAGGGCCAGCTTGCACTTTGATGCAGAGTCTTTAGCCAACATGTCTGACGTTTTGTTGCCGTTTAAGGTAACAGATTTGCCATCATTTCATACACACACTGGTATATGTGAAGGACCGTACATGTTTACGAGATCATTTAGGTGTATGGTGTTTAAATTGTGTGTAGTAATTTTCATTCTCATCCACGACTTTTTACTATTACTGAGTACTGTTGCCATTCTAGATGCTTTTTACATAGCAGTCTATGACATGTGTGTATGTGTTGTACATGTGCACAGACGTCATTGTTTATATTAATAATCTTTGTATCTTTAAATGAGTTCCCGTTTCTGTGAGTTTGCACTGCCGGGTCGTCCCACACAGATACAATGTATTTAAATACCGTACCCGTACTACTTTACCGAATCAAATATCCTTTCCTGTATCGTTGGATCGATTGATGCGATACACTTTCCATCTATATTGGCATTTGATTCGAATGTATATATA